GTGCCTCTACTACCGGTTTTAAGGTTCCACTTTTATTTTGTTTATTTTACAGGTCCTACATCAGTTCAATATCCATAATGGTGGAGGTTTGTTTTCCTAAATGCACTTTTATCGTTTGCTCTAACCTTTTTATATTATCAAAATTCCCCTTTTTCTTTTTAACACTTCGCATGCTAATTTTGCTGCAACCGTCACACTGACGAGGTCCAGTTACAGCACTGAACAGGAATTTATGCGACTTAAAGGACCGAAACATTCCTATTCAGTTTTTTAATCCGATTTATCTTATTCACCTTCATTTTATGCCTTTCTTTTTAACTCTTACTTTTTAAATAAACACACATCATCTAAAATTAAAATTACAATTCGATTCCTTCTCGTCCCATAACTGTCGAACTCTCCGAATGCCGGAAAATTAGCAGCGCAATAGCTGTTCGAAAAACAAGCAACTTTCAGCCAGCGAATATCCAGTTGGCTCAACTTGGTGCGGAAATGATTGTGCCTCACAGATATCACGTGGACTCCATGTATTCTCATTGGTCCGAAACTGAACAGCCAGTTGGATTAACAGTATTTAATATTCGCGGTGAAGTAATACCGCGTTACAGAATGCCGGTTGCTCGATTCATTGGTGATATATTCGTTTACGGCCCCAATGAGGTTTTGTTTCCTTCGATCAGTTTTCTGTCGACAATGAAACACCACATCATTTTTAGCACCTCAATTTAAAAAAAAAAAGGAGGGAGGGGGAAGGGGTGATCGACCAAATAATAGCGGATTTCATATAGTTCGGAAATCTCCAGAGAACTAAAAACATTTTAAGAAAATTCCTGAAAAACCTTTTGTTCCAATTTCAGTGCTCTTGGTGGGGGGCAAGTAAAGGGGAGGGAGCTGATATATTATTAGAAAGTAAAAGTAAATTATAAGATAAATCACAGGCAAGTTACTGGGTAACTTATAAATTTGTAATGTAACTCACTTTGTCAAATCAAAGTAACCCCTTGTAAATCCTCCGTGATCGGAATCGGGAATTGCAATTATTTCCCTTGAACGAGGAATTCCTAGTAAATG